GCTTCCTTCCAGCTCCTCCTATTTGTTGCCCATGCTGCATGCATTGGTATAGATGCACTTCAGTTATGCCATTACCCTCACCCCCAACCCTTGGACTGCTCCCCCTGTGCTCATCTCTGTTGAGCCTCATTTCATTCCCATCCCAATTCATACCTAGTTTAAAGCCCCCTCGATGAGCCTTGCCAACTCCCAGGCAGTCCCCCTTTGGGACAGGTGTGACGCATTGGCAGCCATGAGGCCAGGTTGCTGAGTAAACTTCCCCATGATCCAAAAACCCAAAAATTCTTGTGATGGCACCAGCCTCTCAGCCATGTATCAAGCACTGAAATAGGTTGTAGCAGGGTGAGTAAACCCCTGAGCAACTTGGTCTGGCTTCATAGCTGAGCCTGCTTTGAGCAGAAGGTTGGACCAGAGACCTTCAGAGGTCCATTCAAATTTGAATTTTACTATTATCCTATCATTCAATAATTTTGTACAGCTCAGTTTTGCTTAAGTCATGGTCTTCTTGTGGTTCTCAGATATACTACCATGAAAAGCCAGTCAGCACATATTGTAGTTCTTTTCTGTGTGTAAGATAATAAAACAACCATAACACCACATGGTTTCCATTAGAAAGTGCTGACTTTTTATTAGAACAAAACAAGGATGCCTTGTACAGTACAGCTTCCTGTCACATTTACAAGGATTCCTTGTACAGGAGGCTGTTCTCAGGTACTAGCTGTTTGATAATGTAAAACATAGTTACTTGAGTGTCTGTTTAAATTAAGCCCATATGGTGTTATATCAGTTTCCTGAGTCCAGAACGTATGGATAACTACTGTCATTCCCAACTCTGACAGACATTCCACATGTAATGTGATTAAATTTAGATGTCTAGTCTTAAAAAGCATAGTTCACAGGCTGCCACCAACTCAAAGAAGTTTCAGTATTACTTCATCCACTTGCTGCGGTATGTGGATCTCAACATATATTATCTGGAGTTTTTTGGTATACAGAAATTATCTTTCTGAAAATATATGATAGATATCACAAATATCTTTATGATACTAGAAACAACATCCATAGCATGAATTTTACATCCCTGTAGTGGGTTTACGTGGCAAAGTTTTGGTAGCAGGGGGCCATAGAAGTGGTTTCTGTGAGAAGGATCTAGAAGCTGCCCCATGTTTGGTAAGCGCCCCACTGCTGACCAGAGCTGAGCCAGTAAGTTATGTTGCTTTGCACCTCTGTGAGAGCATATTTAATCAGGAAAACAAACAAACAAACAAACAAAAACACGCTGCAACACACAGCAGCTGGGAGAGTGAGAGGAGTGAGGAACAGCCTTGCAGGCACCAAGGTCAGTGAAGAAGGAGGGGGAGAGGTGCTCCAGGTGCCAGAGAAGACGTCCCGTGTGGCCTGTGATGAGGACCATGGTGAAGCAGGCTGTCTCCCTGCAGCCCATGGAGTACCACGGTGGAGCAGGGTTCCACTCTGCAGCATGTGGAAGAGACCACGGTGGAGCAGGTGGACATGCACCGACAGAGACTGTGGCCTGTGGAAGATGCCTGCCAGAGCAGATTCTGGGCTGGACCTGTAGCCCGTGGAGAGGAGACCACGCAGGAGTAGGTGACCTGGCAGGAGCTTCTGCCTGTGGGGGATCCAGATTGGAGCAGTTTGCTCCTGAGGGATAGACCCCATGGTACGGACCCATATTTAGAACAGTTCTTGAAAAGCTACTGCCTGTGGGCAGCCCACACCAGATCAGCCTACTAAGGACTGCGTCCTGTGGGAGGGACCCCACAGCACAGGGGACCAGAGTGACTGAGAAGGAGCGTTGAAGAAGAAGCGCTATAGACTGACCATAACCCCCATTCCCCCATTCCCCTGCACCACTCAGGGGAGGGTGGGGAGGGTGGTTGGGGGGAAGGTGCTTTTGGTTTCTTTCCTTTGTTTCTCACTTCTCTAGCTTGTTAGTAATAGGCAATAAATCTTACTATCTCCCTATGCTGAGTCTGTTTTGCCCGGTGCAATAATTACTGCACGATATCCCTGTCCTTATCTCAACCTTTGAGCCCTTTTCATCGTATTTTCTCCCCATTCCCCTTTGAGGAGGGGGAGTGAGAGAGTGGTTGTGGTGGAGCTCAGCTGCCCACCTGAGTAAAACCACCACAGTCCCGCATATCAAACGAAAACAAAGACATGAGAATGCTAATTTCCTTTTATGAAAGCTTCTCTCAGCTGTCTCCATAAAAATGTTCTCCTTTGTATGCACAGGCTTTAGAGAAGACCCATACTGATATTAAAAACAAGGAACACAACAAGCATTGCCCGATTGATTTTGTCCTTCCACAGCTCCCTTAGATATTCATCCAAAAAGTATTGCTTTGCAACCAAGTGCTGTTAGAGTTGTTTCTAGTGTTGGAAAATCCAAATTGCAATGAGGAGTCTACAGGGAACTACTAAAACAAATCTCAAATGTAATCTTATACTACATACCGAAGTTCTGTGGTAAAGGTAACAGTATTCAGCATTGGATGGAAAGATTCCTACCCACAACAGAAGGAAGTAAATCTGATTGCCTGACCAACATGGCATTAGAACACATAGAACAATTATTATCTAGGAAGCTTCATTTAGCTTTCAGGATATCTTCCTATCAGGTGGATTATTTCAGAGGGCTGGAACAACTCTCTTACGAAGAGAGGCTGAGAGAGATAGAGATGTTCAGCCTAAAGAAAAGGCTGTGGAGGGGCTTCGTATCAACTTTTCAATATTTAAAGAGGGATTATAAAAAAGATGGAGAACAACTATTTGTTCAATCAGATAATGAAAGGACAAGGCAAAATGGTTTTAAACTAAAGGAGGGGAGATTTAGATTAGAAATTAGGAGGAAATCCCCTAGATCACTTAGAGGGTGGGGAGGCACTGGAATAGGTTGCCCAGGGAGGCTGTGGATGCCCCATCCCTGGAGGTGTTCGAGGCCAGGTTGTATGAGGCCCTTGGCAACCTGATGTTAGGGTGGGTGGCATCCCTGCTCATGGCAGGGGGGTTGGAACTGGGTGATTTTTAAGGTCCCTTTTAACCTGAGTCATTGGTTCTATGATTATGACCTTCCAAGAAATGATATGGAATATTTTTGTTGAGATGGAGGTATCCTACAGTTAGGCTGCAGTGAAGTCATTGGGAAGAAAAAAAAAAAAAAAAAAAAAAAAAAAAGTTGCATTGAAGAGAGAGAAATAGCCTGAATATACTTTATATACTTTCAAGGATATTAATTGTTATGACAAAAGGAAGATATGCCTACCCAACAGCAGACACCTACTCAACATCAAAACCTCAGATACTATTAACTTCTGTTTGATTTAAGTTTGTACAGATTTTTGACAGTTGTCTCCCTAGCACCATCTGGTGTCTGCCAACTTGTAACTTATGAGAATGCACCAAACACAAAATGAATTCAGCTCATGGCCTCATGGGACAGAAAAATTTACAGTAAGCATCTCCACAAAGGCTCAGAAGAATATTAGGCAAGCTGGAATGAGCATACGTTATATTTATGATATTCACTAACTTATGTTGCTGAAACATTCAGCAAATATGTATTTGCCTGTCTCATGCATTCTCTCTCATATGCATGATGATAGGAACATGGATGCTGGTATTAGCTAGATTTTGCATATGAAATATTTCCTTCTTCTGTCTAAATTTTACTTAAAAGCTATACTAACTACATTTCAGATGAATGGTACTTTACCCATGTTTAGATTACATGGCATATGAAAAAAAAAAATGCATAACATACACTTTTTCAATAAAACCATATTGAAAAAATATTCAGTATAGCCTTAAGAACAAGAATACCATATATATATATATATATTTAATTTTTTTTTTCAATGCATAGCTGTCGACAGCAATATCAGGGCACAGCTGTGCAGAAAATGATTCAACCTCCATATGCTGCCACTGTGTATGCTATACTGTAATTCATAAATATGAAGAGTGAAAGTATCATTATTCAATGTCCCTGAAGAAAATGAGAGCCTATGTTTTTTTAGTATTCATCCATTTTGCAGAATGGTTTAATTTAATTTTAACATATGCATTCTTTTGTCTCAGGAAATAAATTTAAAAAAAAAGGTAAAATAAGCAGATACTGAATCAATATGCAATAAGCTGTTCTGTTATCACTTTCAATTTGTTTTAGGGCAATTAAAATAATATATTTTCTAAATATTAGAGACATGCACCTGTTATATCTGACTATTATTGCAGAATATATCACTATTTGATAGTTTCATCAAAAAATCCTAGATGGTAGTCTATCTGAATTATGTTAAATAAAATATGGTCACTGTCTTAATTAGTCTCCAAGATTAAAATCAAATGGATCTGGGATAAAAACTGAAGTCTAAACATGTCATATATATCATGTGTACAACAGGGCACATAGAAGTCAAAAGGTCATTATTTTTTATGAAAATTATATATTCTCATGCAAAATCTGATAGTCTTTATTGATGGACAATGTCATAAAGCCATCACTGTGTTTATAGACATTTAATTGAAGACAGCATAAAACGATAAACTAAGAAACATGCATGGTTGACTCCTCCAATTCAAACCATAAATCATACTGATGTTCAGACAAGTCGCCCAGACACAAATTCTGATGATAGATGAACCATTTAACTTTGATTTTTGAAAGCAATGAGCTTGCTAGCAATACCTCACACTGACTAATACCACATATGGTCATATAAGAACTCATCAAAAATCCATTTTTCCCTTGTGTGGATGCTAAAATTATCTTCTAAATGATCATTATTAAAAGTGTGCAGTGTGTAACATCCTTCTAATGTGCATAGCTGGATTCAAAGTCTGCTTGCTTCAGTAAGCAATGATTTTATCATTATTTCTAATCTTAAAAAAAAAGGTTCTTAAAATATAAATAAGGAAGATGAGGCAATATGTAAAATTAATTTATTGAAAACATTATAGAAAAGCTAACAAAACAA